AAAACCAGCAATGTAGCACAGTCTGGAGGAGGTACGTGCGTTATAGAGAGCCCTGCTAATTGATTGATTAATGTTAATTGTACAGGTACACTCTTGTTTGATCAGTTGACGTCACGTCCCACTGGAGCTAAAGGAAGAGAGGTAGTGGCAGGTCCCACTACTAGAGGGACTGTCCCTCATTCCTCTTCAGCCCCTAAGCCTCAGTTGGAGTATCAAACTGCCATGGAGCTTGAGCTATGGAAAATGCAACAAGAAGAGGAATTTATGAAAGGACTCAAGTAAGCTCATGTTGTGTTTATCAATATGATGTCATTATGATGTCATTATGATGTGATAGGGAAAAAGAAGAAACTCAACTGAAGCTACTGGCAGAAGAATTTCAAAAGAGAGACAAACAGAGAGAAGACGTTTTGAAGCAAAAAGTAAAGGACCTGCTTTATCTTTTTAAATCAATATTTTCTTTGCTAGATGGATTATTATCAAAGTCTAGAGGGACAGCTGGCGAAAACTCTTAAAGAGTTAGAGTCTCAGAGACAGAAACTGAAGGCAAGAGAGCAAGACATGGTCTCCACACAAAGAAGACTTGAAGATGAACAAAGGTCAGAAAGAGAGAACCATATGAAGTTGCATTATTGTGTGTGTTAATTCATAATACACTGTAGGTCTCTTCAGTATGATGCTAAACGTGAGAAAGGACTGCTTCAGTCAGAACTAGAGGGAAACCTTCAAATTGAAAAGTAAAAATTTGAAGCAACAAATGAAATACTACTTTGTTACATAATTCAATAAAAATAGACTCAAATCAAAGGAGTTTGCCATTCAGTTGGACAGAGCGAGGAGACAGGTCAGTGAGCTGGAGAATAAGCTCCTTCAGAGAGAAGCTGAGTTTGAAATGTATAAAGACAAGATTCATTCACAATCGTCGGAGACACAGCTGCAAACAGAACTGGGGCTATTGAAACTAGAGAAGGTAAGAGATTGAAATAACAATGTAGTACTAGTGGTATTGTGATATTACTTATAATTCAATGTATTTCAATTTAGGCTGAATTGGAACACAAGCTAGAAACAGTGACAAAGTCGAAGCAGCATTACAAAGATGAATGGAGCAAGGCACTGAAGGAGGTAGCATCACTGAAGCACAGGGAGCAAACTGTAATGAGGGACCAACTCAAGAAGCAGCAGCTGGAGCTGGAGGCTATGAGAGTCAAGTATCTCAGAGCTGAAGAGCAGCAGTCCTTACAACAACAGCTCCAACAGATTAAAGATGAGACACAAAGGTTAGATGTTTTATCATTTTAGAAAATATTTTGAAAATCATTGTAGTCCAATATTTAATGCTGAACTCTTATTATTTCTTTTCTCTTTTTCTTTTATCTTTACTGGTAGATTACGTGCACAAGCATTATCAAAGACACCTGTACCAGGGACCCCTCGCCATACCCCTACCCGACAAACCACCCCCATACTCACCTCGCCACGTCTCCAAACCATCGACGCTAACATTGCCAGATGGATTGAAGAAAGGAACATCCTCCTACAGACTGGAGTGTACACTCATGCTGACCCAACCATACAGAAACTGGACAAGAAGATACAGGAAGCATTATTAGAGAAGAGATCAACTTATAATTCTAGTTCTTAATATCTTTTCAGGCACACGAGACTCTCACCCACATAGCCCCTTGTCTATATTTTCTGTATCATCACACAATGTACTGCTATTAAAATTAGCTCTAGAGTTCTTACTTATCTTTTACCCATTTTACCACCTAAAGAAATTTTAAAAATAATTAATTGTTTTGTTAATTTTAGAATTCTTTAACTTTTAATTATTGGGTGTGGCTCATTATTATTATTTATTTATGAGCCACACATGCTTCTTAAAAGACCACGTGTTTGTGTACTTTCATCATGTCTGCCCCGAGTCCTCCTATTGCTTCTCCTGTCCCTCCTGTAGTCGTCCATACGCCATCACCTCAGGCTTCTAGCCCAGAGTCTCCTCCACTCAAGAATCCAGGGGAATATGAAGAAATAGGGAAAAAGACAAAAGGTATTTTTGTATTAAAATAAGTCAAGTATTCAGCACATATTAAAATTAAAAATAAAATTATTTCAATTATCCTGATTTTGAGGAATGAGCACTGTAACTTCTGTCTGTTGGTGGAGAGAATTTGCATGGGGAATTCTACATTTTATATTATTTTTGTAATTTTCTGTCATTTACTGGTAGAGTCTATCCTTCCGAGCAGTTTCGATGGTTGCAAGTTAGTCCTACAGAAAGGTCTGAGTCAGCACTTTCAGACGTCACATACGGTCACTTTGGGCTCAAGCTCTGCTCCTTCTCAGTGGCAGTTTGGAGCCACTTATGTGGGACACAATAAAGTTGGAGAGAATGATGTGAGTCTTAGCAATTGAACAAGAAATAGTGTATCCATTTCCATACATGAGGCAGACCTATTGCAGTTACTTTAATGTTGTAAGCATATAAATGTTGCCTCGAATAGACCTGTTAAGGCCCAACATACACTGAGCAACTTTGTTGCTGGCAACTTGTGGTCAGACCTTTGATGTGGTTGAGCAACACTGGGCAACATGTTGTAGAAAGTAGAGAGACTCTCAACTTCTGGCAACAAGTTGCCTCACCACATCAAAGGTACTGGCAACAAAGTTGCTCAGTGTATGTTGGGCTTTAGCTATTGGCTATTTTGGGCCTAAAGATCAAAGTAACCACAAATTTCTTTAGTTGTGAGCCTAGTCTTTGGTACCAATGTGTTAGCTAGTGAAATAGAATTAACAAGTTTATTATTATGAGTTATGATTATTCTAGTTTCGTCCAGTTCTTCTTGGAGACGTTGGTACCACTGGTAATTTCACTGGTGTCTTTCTGCATCAGTACAAAAACCTGAAACTAAGGATCAATGCACAAGTATGATGCAACAGACACCTGAGCATCATGCAGGATTAAATTCCTATTTTAGACTCAAGGCTCTAAGTGGGTAGGATATCAGGGGACTGCTGATTATCTTGGACAGGATTACACAGGATCACTAACATTAGCTAACCCTGATGTCATATCAGGATCAGTCATTGCTGTTGCACAATATTTGCAATCAATAACTTCAAGGCAAGTGGAGCAACCAACCATCACTTACTCTCTCTCTTTAGGTTAAGTTTAGGAACAGAGTTACTAATACAGAAAGGTGGTGGTATGGAATTAGGTGCACTCTCCGTTGGAGGAACATACAAGACATCATCTTGGGAGGCTGCAGCTAAAGTAGGAATGCAGTGGTACCTTTCATATGTACAGAAAATACCAAATGTTAAGGTAAGAGGAATCAGTTTATTCATTTAATTGTACACCAGAGTATTGATGTCCTTATGCTATGTAAAAAGCTTGAGCTGATTCCGACTTCAATTTTCTAAGTTATGGCCATTTTTTAAAATATGCCATTTTCTGCAAAATACCCAAGACTATAGCCCATGGTTTTTTCCAAAAAATGGCTCCGAAATCACCCCCAATTTTTATTACATTTTCTGATACATATTGATGTACTTATGCTATGTAGAAAGTTTGAGTCGATTCCGACTTCAATTTTTTTGAGTTATGACCATTTAAAAAATATCTAATCAACTTATTACTTATGATAGGAGCTAACACTAGTAGCTGAATGCGAAGGTAGTCTGATGAGTGGTGAGACTGTATCAGCCATTGGATATCGCTACGACGTTGGCAACGGCTCTGCTACATTTAAAGGCAAAGTGGACTCAAAATGGACAATAGGTGCACTAATAGAGAAGAGATTGGACCCACTACCAGCCAACCTTCTTCTAAGTGGACAGCTCAACCACATAAATAATGAAGCTAAATTTGGGGTTGGTTTCATGATTGGCTAAAGATTATAAGTGAATGTATGTATGTGTGTGTATGTATCATTTATTCCAATTGTATTTTCGGTTGGAAAATTGGATTTTTTGTTA